CTTAGTAGTCCTACTTCACCATTGCGTACAACCCCGTAGGGCGGTCCCGTGCAGTTTTTTAAACTCCGTATATCTCAGTTGTTTTAAGATGCACAGCTTTTATGTCTTGCGCAACTTTCCATGAAATTTTACGTTCTACAACTTTGCCAAAGACAGCAAACCTATATCTAACGAAATAAAAAAAGTTTGTATCGCTGCACCATCTTTGATGATATCATGATGATGATAATGGTTTACCACCCATTGTAGCACGGAAACTAAGCCTAACAGCAGTGGGCTCTCTTCTCTGTTTGTCTTGATCAAGATTAATAACCTTTGATTGTCCTCAACATGTCGCTGTATGAAGGGCCAAAAACGGATTGGGTAGATCGATAGGCAAAGTCGCCTATACGCATCTACGGAACAATAAAGAATATCCTTCCAGCAACTTGATCAGCCAATTGGTCAAAAAGACAAGCCCCCAAACAGTAAGATGCCCCTATGAGTGGGGAGAAGAGCCCGCCCTTTATCCACGAAATGTTATAAACAGAGAGCTGGCATTTCCACTCTCCCCGTCCAAATCGCTTTAATCGGGTGCCCTGTTGGACCGTCCCTTCCCTTTTATATATGTATTTCAATGTACACTGGAGTCGATTTTTACGCGGTTTTCGGAACTTACACGGTTGTTTAACGCGGATTTCGGAATTTACGCGGTTTTTTTTACGTGGATTTCGGATTTTTTTTACGCGGATTTCAGAATTTACGCAGTTTATCGTTGTACACTAGAGTCGCTTTTTACGCGGTTTTTTTTTTGCACGGTCTTTTTTCACGCGGTTTTTTACGCGGATCCCAGAATTTACGCGGTTTTTTTTTACGCGGGACGTATCACCCGCGCAAAAAGCGACTCCAGTGTATATACGAGTTGATTGTTTTGTATGATTATTGTCAATAATACTTACATTTCGATGAAGATCGTGATACTTATCTATCATTACAGTAACCAATCTTGAATCGTAGACCATGTCGTTCAACAATACACTCGTTCCGAGACGGGGCTCTGTGATAAAGCCATCTTCGTCCTCCTCATTATGTTCGCTCACCACCCGGAATGCATGCAAACGAAAAAGATATACAACTAGAATTAGATTATTTTTTTTTATTTGCGATAGTCCTTGTTCTCTGTCTTATCCTTTTTTCTTCCAGTATTTATAACTTCCTTTTCCTTGATCTTCTTCCTCTGTCGATACACCATCTGAAATTTCGCTATCCTCATTCTAATAAATTTCTTCCGCTTTCTTTTTTAATTTTTCTTTGTCCTTAGCTAGTTCTTTCCATTCTTCTATATCAAGTTCTTCATATCTGTCAAAGTCCTGACTTATTGATTTCCTCCAAGTAAGGCTTTTGATTTCACGAATGTATGTTTTATCGAATTGTATCTTATATCGAAGCATGATTTTTAAATTAAGAAACACATTTTATTTTGCATTATTTTGATTCTTTCATTGTTTTCTTACAAGTTAATTCTTTGGGAATTTTCGGAGCCTTTTTTGTATGTTTGTTAAAATCTGATTTAAACTTTGAATGAATGAGTCTAAGCCACTGGTCCTATTTCGATAACTAAGAGGAAGAGGAGACAACTGCCTTCCTAGTCTTTTATTTCTATCTCTATCTCTATCCCTATCTCTATCTTACGCACTTCAAATCGACCAATCACGAGCTGGTTCGCGTTTGGCAGAAAAGTGGTTCGTTTTCGCCTCCGTATTGTCTCCTCTTCTCTTACACTGTACTAAAACATCATGCTCTGTTCGAATGAAACCTCAAACATCGAATTGGCTTTTTCGGATGATAGCTGCAACCGGACGACGATTGTTTTGTAATCAGATGATGCTCCTCTCGAATACAGGATGAACATTGATACGAGAAGCGAATGGACCTCAGTTGAAATACGTAATGCTCTCTGTAGAATGACTGTCATCCCAAATTGAAATGCATATTGTACTGATTCGCAAATCCTCCAAAACGATGATGTAAAGCGTAGGAACCGAAGATTGTCTATTTCGAGGTAGAGGAAGTTTCCTCTACCAACAAAAGATTTTTGTATCAATGATGGAATGGCTGTTCCTGGCTATTCAATATGGAAATATAAACAAGCGAACTATCAACCCAATTTTAAGCATTTGCAAGGCATCCTATTATTAAACTGATTACACTTCTTCTTCTTCTTCTTCTTCTTCACATTTCAAGCTTATTACATATCGCATAATAGCTTATTGCGTGCTGTCAACTTAGTGTTCTACTAGATGCACTTCCACAGTTATTAATTGAGAACTTTCGATGCCTGTACCATTTTTGCATTGGTATAATTGTGTGGCAAGTCCAATCATGCTTCTATGCCCAGGGAAGTCGAGAAAATTTCCAACCCGAAAAATTCCTAGACCGCTTTGTAGCTGCGCCTTTACCGACTGAGCTAAGGGAGGCCCCACTGATTAAACTTATTATCCTCTAAGCACTGTATGTTGTACATCCAATTTTCAAATAATTATCATCCTTTATTTAGAGGACAGTCATATGGATGCTCGCAATGCAATAATCATTCGAAGTATTGCAGATGTTTTCGTTCAGTGTAGATCAATAACAGTGTTTGGCAGAAGCTTTCATACAAGGTGTATGACGCATTTCGCGCCAAATCGTATTCGGAGCTGGCAGCACCCTCTCAGATTTCAATGAAACTTCCTGGATGTGTGGACCTTGACTGAATATGCCACTTTGCATACTCAGTTTTTCCAAAATTTATCTAGACTAACATTTGAGAAGGGCCAAACTTTTTCTGCCGATTTTTTTCAAAAAAATATTATGGAAAAATGAAAACTCCTTAAAAAGACCTACACTGAAAAAACTTTGCCTCAAGATAGGTAATTATGTTTACTACCAACCGTCCATACATCGCGAGATGGGCACTTTTAAGGAAAAAAAGTTTTTCTTACAAAAACTTTTTCATGTCTGAACAGATTTTTTTTTTTTTTTGATTTGCCATTTTTACACAAAACAAAACCAGTGAAGCTCAAAATCATCTCAGAATCCAATGAAGCTCAATTAACAATTCAATTTTGTCTAATCAGCACTTAAGTTCACTTTGATTAATCGAATTCTCGCCAAATCGTATTTGGAATTTTCAGCACCCTCTCAGAGTTCAATAAAACTATTTGGACATACCTTGTCAAAAAATATCATTCCCTTATTCTGTTGTCTACTACTGATGCAAAATTTGATAATATGTGAGAGAAAAAAGACAAGATTTTTCATATATTTTATTTATATATTTTCAATGTTTTAAACCTATTTTCATACATGCTATTTTTTCCTTTTTCCAATCTAGTTAAATATTTTTGGTTCATCTTCTGAATTAGAATATCTTTTTGCCGCTACTTTGTCACTAGTTATAGGCACAAAACTGTGGTATTTCTGTGTGCCAGATATTGTCTATGTGCTGTTATATAGTTCTTCGAGTTCTTCTAACATTTCGATGTACTGTTCAGTGGATATGTACTCGAAACGTAGTTTTGTGATATTTTTATCTGCTTGTTCAACTGCCCAGCTATATAATTCTCGTGGAGTTGTTATGGTGTTTCCATAATCTCGATCAAGACTAGCTCTCTTTGCCATTCGCTTGAGAGTGCCACCAATGGCATCACAGGGACCTTTTCCATGAGACGTTGCAAAAAAATGCCATTCTGCTACTAATCCATGCTTTGACTGAAATCTACACAGACTAGCAAAGTTTTTTTTTTTATTTTTGTATTGTGATGCTGCCCCATCTGACATAAAAGTAATTTTAGAAAAATCTATCGATTGTTTAATAGAATCTATCATTTTTGAGATGAACAACTGAACTGCAACTGTATCGTGAGTCATAACTTCTGATATGATAATGAAGCTAACATTTTCAAGTTTATTGTATTTCTTATAATAAACTTCAAATGGATGTATTGTTGCTTGAGAATTATTCCAGTGATATCCTTGAGCAGCGTTTTGGATAATGAATAAATAATTTTCAGAAAAATCACAATTTGCTAGAATTGCGCCTTCTTTTAATGATTCTTTTTTATATCTTTGAAAAGATGACTGTTGTTTGTAAATAAAGTCATGAGCTATAAGTTTGTTAATTTTATCAATGAGATACGGAGCTAAGACCTCTAAGTTGCTATAGGAGTATCGGATTTTGCCTCAGTAGTAGACAATATAATCAATTATATTATTTTCTAATGATATAAGCCCTTTTCATATGGAATTCTCGATTAATCAAAGTGATTAGTTGCTGATTAGACAAAATTACTGGATCGTCCCAGTCGACAGTGACTAACCAAAGGTTTTGCGTTTGGATTTTGGCCCATGCTACGACTGGAGAGACCAATCCGAGTGGGTCGTAGAGCTTCGCAATTGCTGAGAAGATCTTGCGTTTTGTCCAGCTGTCATCGCTCGTAGATGGTTGAACCTCGATGCACAACTGGTCTGGTCCTATTTCCCATCCCACACCTAGTGTTTTGATTCTCTGGTCTGTTTCGAAGTGCAGCGTTGTGTCAACTCCAAGTGCTTCAGTGGGTAAGTTTTGCAGGATTTCTGAACTATTTGAGCACCATTTCCGAAGTTCGAGACCTCCCTCTGCCATCATAGCTTGAATTTCTCTTTGAAGCAGTACGGCTTCTTCCATCGAGTGCGCTCCCGATAGTAAGTCGTCCATGTAGAAGTCGTCTTGCACGGCGCTGGCTGCAAGTCTGTATTTCTGTCCCAAATCCAAAACCAGTTGCTTCAACACCCGAGTAGCGAGAAATGACGATGGAGACAAACCGTAGGTGACAGTCTGTAGTTCGTACACCTGGATTGGTTTCGACGGATCGAATCGCCAGATAATTCGTTGAAGCGGTGTGTCGTCTTCGTGGACCCGTATCTGGCGGTACATTTTTGCGACATCTGCAACCAATGCAATGCCATGTTTCCGGAAACGGAGTATCAAATTCAAAAGTTCATCCGGTGAGTAGGGCTTGGTTGAGTGAATAGTTCGTAGACGTTTTCGCCGATCCATCGAAAACCACACGTATCTTCGTAGTAGAACTAGACTCTTTAAATACCGGATGGTGTGGAAGGTAGCAGACCGTTTTGCCTTCATCCAAACGGGGATCGTTTGCTTCGCCGACGCATTTCATGTGGACTAACTCAATATACTCCTTCATGAAGGCACTGTATTGCGATCGTAGATTTGAGTCCCGTTCCAACCGTCTCTCCGTTTGTTGAAATCGTCGTATGGTTGTCTGCTTCGATTCACCAATCATGTTATTGAAATTCATGCGCTTAGGGTATCGCACAATATACCTGCCAGTGTTGTCGCGCTTGACGGTGTTCATGAAGTGCGTCTCGCAGTCTTCTTCTTCCTGCGAGCGTGGAAGTATTTCTGTAAATTCCTCCACCGCCCAAAATTTTTCGATTGCCTTGTCCAGGGATTCCACTTTCATAACGTGACAACTAACCCGTGTTGGTTCTTCTATGCATTTCGTTTCCCCGGTTGCCACCCATCCGAAGACCGTATTGACAAATACTGGGAGTGTATTGTCGAATTTGCGGATTTGTAACCGGCCACCATCGCGTACATGGAACTCGTAGAAGTATTGTACACCCAAGACCAAATCGATCGGACCAGAGACGTTGAATTCTGGATCAGCTAGCACAATATCGGATGGAAGTTTCAATTGAGCTAGTGGAAGTGAAACTGATGGTTGGTCATCGGTAATCTGTCTCAGAACCAAGAAATCCATTGACGTCGAGAAATTCTGCACCCGAGAAGAGATTGTGGTGGAGACTTCATAAGCTGTGCGGCCTCGTGATCGTCCAATACCGGTTATTTCCACCTTCTTGTCGCGCCGAGACAATTGGAGCAGCTTGCAGAGATTTTCTGACATCAAATTGACTTGAGACCCAGAGTCGAGAAGCGCCCTTGCGTGATGTGTCCTTCCCCATGCGTCCTTCACCTTGAGTAAACGGTGTCCACGATGAAATTGCCACACTATGAAATTGCTCTAACTTTTTAACCGTTGGGTAGAATTTAATGAAAATTTGGGTGGATTTAGTTCATAGTGCATTATTTACATCCTGCAAGTTTTAAAGTCCTGTGATCAAAACTCGCGGAAATGGAGTCGAAAGAACAGCTCGTGCGTGATAAAATCTTGCGCATTCATCACGAGAACAAGGATCTCTCGCATCGTTCCATCGCTAAAACGTTGGGAATCGCGAATTCCACGGTGTCGCGAGTGATTAAGCGGTTCGAGAAACGGTTGACCACCGATCGGAAGCCCAGAAGTGAAGGAAAAAGTATTCCGTACAACACCAAAAATCACAACCGCGTAGTTGGGGCCTTCAACCGAAATCCGAACGCCTCCGTTGGGGATGTGGCTAAGAAGCTGCACCTAAGCCGAAGTTTTGTCCAGAAGGCCAAAACTAAGGCTGGGCTTCGAACGTTCAAGGTACAAAAGGCCCCTAATCGCGACGAGAAGCAGAACAAGTCCGCCAAAACCCGTGCCAGGAAGTTGTACCTCAACATGCTGACGAAAGTTGAATGCTGCATCATGGACGACGAAACATATGTGAAGGCCGACTTTAAACAGATCCCCGGCAACCTGTTTTTCACGTCCAAGGATAAGTTCAGCGTTCCGGAGCATGTCCGCACTCAGAAGATGTCCAAATTTGCGAAGAAATTCCTGGTTTGGCAAGCCATCTGCACGTGCGGGAAGCGGAGTGCACCTTTCGTGACCCAGGACACGATGAACGGACAGGTGTACATAAAAGAGTGCCTCCAGAAGCGGCTGCTTCCTCTCCTGAAGGCCCACAACGTCCCAACAATCTTCTGGCCGGATTTGGCCTCATGCCACTACTCCAAGGACGTGCTGAAGTGGTATGCGGACAATAAGGTCAATTTCGAGCCGAAAATGTTCAACCCTCCCAACACTCCGGAGCTCCGCCCCATCGAGAAGTACTGGGCGATTATGAAGCAGCACCTTCTTAAACGACCTAAGGTAGTGAAGACAGTCGAGGAACTGAAGAAAGTATGGGTTTACATGCAAAAAACGGTTGATTCACAGGTTGTGCAGAATCTTATGGCCGGGGTTAAGGCCAAGGTGCGGGCATTTGTGTACGGACTGTAAATAAAATACGAGTAAAATGGTAAAATGAAGTTTAATAGTTATTTCTCAATCCCTGAAAATTTGATGGCAATCGGATGAAAACTCGAATTTTGCGAATCAATTTTGTGTGTGGCAATTTCATCGTGGACACCCTTTAGTACTGTGAGCAGAAACAGGTGTGATCTTGATTGCCCCACCGCCACATTAGATTGAACCGATGCCACTGAACTAGAAACCGATTCACCAGAGTTCGAAGCACCGCCGGTTGTTGATGGAGCAGAAGTATTCATGTTTTAATTCGCTGTTAGAGTGGAGGTAGGAGTGGGATTAGAACCAGAACCAGGGAAACCAGGATGCAGCAACGAATGATGTTTCTTCGAACACGTTCTACAACGATATTTTGAAGGACAATCTCGCGCTAAGTGATTCCGGCCCAGGCAGTTGCCACAGAGCCGCTTGGAGTTGGTGAGCTGCAGCCGTTTATCTACCGGAAGATTAGCGAATGTTGGACACCGAGTAATCCAATGTTTTTCACTACATGCGAAGCAGTTTGAGGGCGTGTTTTCAGTCGCCGAGTTGACCGAAACTTTAGCTGGACGGAATTTGTTACCACTAGACAACGTTGTCGTTGAGAACATATGCTGATCGACCGGTAGATAAACGGCTGCAGCTCACCAACTCCAAGCGGCTCTGTAGCAACTGCCTGGGCCGGAATCACTTAGCGCGAGATTGTCCTTCAAAATATCGTTGTAGAACGTGTATGTACCATTCTGGGGGCGTGATTTGTGTGTGCAGTAGATATTACATCCAGCAGCTGTCAAAAACCAATAATGAAGGGCCCTTTTCATGCACATGCAGGCCGTCATTACGGAGTGTGGATAGCTAAATACCTCATTCCGTCCCCTATAAACCGGTGTTTGAAAACGTTAATATCAATTCAATTCCAACAAAATGATGAATTTTATGAGTTTCTTGAAGTGCAAATCAGTTTAACAGTGTCAAACTAAATATCACTGACATGAATATCACAGCGGCTCTGCTGACATTCTCTTTTGCTTTAATTTGTCCCTACTTCGATGGAATACACATTCAGTCAATAGACTTTTGACAGTGTTCCATTCTTCAAACTCTCATAGTTTTGGTTATGGGTGTGCATTAATTTTAAATTAGTTGGAGCTGGAAAATCACTAAAATGTCTTACGCAATTAGTGCACAGCCCCTGCAGACTTTCAATACCTGCACCTGGGATGCAGCCCCCCCCCCCCCAATGCGAGGTCTCTGGACGGTCAATTTGGACTTATAATCTATTTTTATTGAATCTTGAAACACTAATTCTGATGATAATGAGAAATAAAAAAATAATTTTGAAAGGTGTATCTTATATCGAGGTAAAATGTACCTTATATCGAGTGACGCTATATCGAGGGTACGTTATATCGAGGGTAAGTTATATCGAAGTGCACCCTTGGTTTTTTACAGCTATTAAAAATGTTCCTTAGAATATTTTTTTCGTAGTTTGCTAGTGCCACCCTGTTTTTCTTTGTTAATACCGCTACCTTAGTTCCGTATGCTAACGCTGGCGCCAAAACTGTATTATATATAAGCTTTCCTAATCCCCAACTCGGATGAAATCTTGTACAAAAATGTACTACTAATTTTGAAGTTTTCAAAGCGTTTATAGATCTATGCCCATTGGTTAATTTCCTGTTTAGGATTGCTGTCAGACAAACTCCTAAATGCTTCATATATTCACTAATTTTAAAAGCAGCTCCATTAAGCATTAATTCATTTGGCTGTACTGCTGTGTCATTTGGGTATCTAACTAAAATTTGACTTTTCTCCCTATTGATTTTAAGACCAACTTTGGATAGCTCCTCTTCTTGGACTTTAAGAATATTCTCTTACTCATTTATACTTCTTGCTTTTATTAATAAAGGTCGAACACGAAATTATTGCGACACCGAAAATGTCATGCCAATTTTCTTATAATGTTTAGAATCAAACCAAAATTTTAGGGTAGTTTTAAACATATATTTACTTCAAAAATCAAAAGAAAAGTTAATCGATGGAGCCTTGAGTGTAAAATTGAACGCATTTTCGCTTGATGCCCTCCATCAAAGTCTTTACAGTGTCATCCGGTACCAGTTTCTCAGTTTTTTTTTTCCATTTTCTTAACATGTCCTTCTCGTCTTGGACTGTCTTCTTGCTCTTCCGAAGTTCCCGCTTCATTATTGCCCAGTACTGCTCCACCGGGCGCAGCTCCGGACAGTTTGGCGGATTCATGTCCTTTGGAACTAAATGGACAGAATTGGCCTCATACCACTCCAGGACACTTTTAGAATAGTGGCATGATGCCAAATCCGGCCAAAATAGCGGAGCTTCGTCGTGCTGCTGCAAGAACGGCAAAAGGTGCTTCTCGAGGCATTCAGATTTGTAGATCTCGCCATTTACTGTGCCCTTTGTCACGAAAGGCTCACTCCTCAGTCCGCAAGAGCAGATGGCCTGCCAAATGAGATATTTGGAGGCGAACTTCGACATTTTCTTCTTCTTAAATTTGTCATCCACATCGAACTTGCTCTTGCCGGTGAAAAACTCCAACCCCGGAATTTGCTTAAAATCGGCTTTTATATACGTTTCGTCGTCCATCACACAGCAGCCATATTTTGTCAGCATCTTCTCGTAGAGCTTCCGTGCCCGAGTTTTAGCCGTCGATTGTTGCCGCTCATCGCGGTTTGGGAAGTTCTGTACCTTGTATGTATGTAGTCCAGCTCTCTTCTTTGCATTCTGGACGTAGCTCTGCGACATGCCGATCTTTTTAGCCAAATCACGGCTTGAGACGTTGGGATTTGCTTTAATCATCCGCTTCACCTTTCCCTCCGTCTTTTTGTTCTCCGGTCCCGGTTTTCTTCCAGCTCCTTTGCCGTGGTCCAACGTCAACCGCTCCTGGAACCGCTTCAACACTCTGGAGACGGTTGAATGGTGAATGTTCAACATTTTTCCCAACTGCCGGTGCGACAGGTCAGGAAATTCCAGGTGCTTGGAAAGAATTTGTTCTCTCAACTCGCGTTGGTTCACCTCCATTTTCGTTGAATCGAAAAACACGACTTCGAGTTTGACAGCATGTACACAATAAACATCAATGAGAAAGTGTGCAAAATTTGGTTGAATTTTACCCAATGGTAAAAAAGTTATGCCCTGTTGAATGTGTCGCAATAATTTCGTGTTCGCCCTTTATGTCATCGGCAAATGCTAAAATTATCGGCAGTTTGTATCGCTGCACCATCTTCGCGGCCAAAACTTGAACTTTTTTTATCTACCAAATTTTAGTCTCAATTAAT